TTTTTTTTGGTTTTTCTCCGGTACCGGGAACCGAACTCACGACCTTGCGCTTGCCAGGCAGGCGCTTTTGCCGCTGAGCTAAATCCCCAGCCCCAGAGACCCTTGTTTCTTAAAGTAAAAGTTAATGTAATAGTTTAATTTTTTAAAAAGTAAAACTTCAATTAGTAAAGTGTCATATTTTAGGCCCTTAAAATAAACCTGAAGCATTACAATCCTTCAGAAAGCTAGACATGATAATGCATGCCTATAATCCCAGCACCTGGAGGCTGAGGCACAAGGGTGGATCACTGCAAGTTCAAGGCAAACCTGGGCCTTCTGAGTTCAATGCCAACCTGCGCTACAAAGCAAAACCCTGTCTCAAAACAAAGAAACACAAAAAAAGTGACCATAGTTTTATTTTGCTAGTTCCCCTAGGCTTAAAATATATGACTAATGATAAATTTTATGAATCATTTCTGAGAATCCACTTTTTAATCTGTCTCTTTCTTTAGCTACATGAGCCTACAGAGAAGGTATAAGATAAATACGTGAAAGCTTACCAAATTCTTTAAAAGAAACAACAGAAATTATTGATTCTTCCCTTAGCACATCACAATAAAGCCAACTTCTGCAAGGAAATATTTCAAACAAAGGTCTAATTATATTCGTTACATCTGACCTCAAGGGCAGGTCCTAACGCTGTAATTCCCATGTTTATGTGTAGGGCCAGCGTCTTGGGGAGGCTGTGCTTAAAGGAATCGTGTGAATGGTGCTTGGGATGAATATTGTGGCCATCAAATGAATGCTTTAATACACAGGACTGACTGCGGGGTTCAGAGTGAGGAGCTAGGACAAGTAGATAAAATATACTTGGTATAGAGCAAATAGCACCAAACATCTTCAAGTCACACTTGACGTCTCTTTTTCTCAAATTTTACTTTCATTTCCTGGTGGCTATACTCTTAAATATATACAGAAAACATTTCTGAAAAGAGAGGAGAGAGGGAGGGAAGGAGAGAGGGAACAGGAGGAAAGGAGGCGGGGAGAGAAAGGAGAGAGAAGAGAAGGAGAAAGAATAGAGGAAGAGGAGGAGAAATGTGAGGAGAGGGAAAGGGGAAGGGAAGGAGAAAAGAAAGAAAAAAAGAATCTGACCAATCCTTATGTCCTCCAGTGCTACCGCCCTAGTCCAAGCTACCATTACCATGGTCAGGGTGGTTGTATTAACCTCGTAATGGTTCTCTCTGCTTTGAACCTTGCCTTCCTGCAGTTCATGCTCCACGTAGCCAGGCTATTCTTTTTATTTATTTATTTATTTATTTATTTATTTGTCTTTTTGAGACAGGGTGTTTGTCTCGCTATGCAGTTCAGGCTGGTCTTGAGCTCACTTTGGCCTCGAACTCACAGTGATCTTCTTGCCTCAGCCTCCCAAGTGCTGGGATTACAGGCATGCACCACCACACTCGGCTCAGGCTATTCTTTTAAAAATGTAAGTCAGATCCAAAGGATTAATATCTAGAATATATAAAGAACTGAAAAAAATCAGATCTTCCCCCAAATTTAAATACCCAATCCAAAAATGGGCATCTGAAATGAATAGACACTTCTCAGATGAAGAAGTATAAACAGTAAATAAATAT